AACCAGTTCCTGGTGGTGCAGAAAGGAATGTCAGGCCGTAAGCTCCGTTGACAAATAAGCCCAATTTACCACTGCCACATCCAGTTTTGGGGAGTAAAGCCCCCAGAACTTCAGTTCAGCAGGTTCCCATGACTCATAAACTTCCTCCTGGGGTTCCTAATCATGTCACCAAAAACTCTCAGCCAAAGGAAAATAGTTTTCTGGTTACAAGCAATCTGCCAGCTGGATCCAAATCAGAAGTGACCAACTTGAGCAAACTTCCAACAACCCAGCAAATTGGAATCCAGCAAGCCAAGCCTCCTCCACCTCTGTCTGTTAAAACTTCCTCCAGGGGCCCAGAAAACCCAATATCCCAGCCAAACAAGAAAGTTACACATCAATTACCAGTCCCTCCATTTGAGCCCATTATGGCCGTTAGGAACCCCAGAGAACTCGCCTGGATGAGCAGACCAGGCTCACAGCCTCTGCCAGCTCCACCAGCTGATGGGCCCATATCTTAGAAATTTGAGCGCTAAATTAGGTTCACCAGGTGTGGATAACAACATTTTCCCTATTCTCACAGACATGAACAGGAGCAAAAAATGATGTATTCTAACTATGTGTCTGCTTTGAAATCTTCTAATCCCTCAGGCACTATTACCCAGCTGTGAAATTGCTTGGACAACTTCAAACAAGGATCATACACAGACCACATACATATTTTTCTGTAGGAGGGGCCTTGAAGACATTCATGGAGATCCCTCTCATGAACATTTTCCACCCTTCATCAATTAACTCAGATCCACTTCCAAATTCTATCAAGCACACTCAGTGTATTCAGTTGTGCCTGGACCATACTCTCTCTTGCTCCTTGAACATGTCAATCAGTCAAAGTATCTGCTATCATCATCTATATTCTTTCCCTTCTGTAGGTCAGTATTTTATGACCTTTCCACGACACAGATACCTATCTGACAACTCAGATGTGTCAATGTTTTGCCTGTGTGTTTGTATTTGGAAACCTTGGACCATTTGGATTTTGTCTTTCTTTTTTTCTTGTCCCCAGCCAACATAGACATTGATCAACAATAAAATATCAAATTCTTGTCAAGCCAGCGCTCATTTCTCTAGGAGGAAAAAACAACTAATAATCAGAAGGGCAAATCAGCCTATGTGGGCTTCCTTCCCTGCCCCCCCCCCCCAAAAAAAAGGTGTATTCATAGAACAGCTCTCAAGCAGCAGAGGCTACCATGCTGAAAGTCTCCTGTAACATTCCTCGACGCTGCAGTCATCCCAATGTTCCTGAGATTAGCAAGAAAAAAGTATAGAAGGACTAGCCTCACTTGGTTAGGCTTCTTAGCTCTGTGGGTCGTCGAAGATCTTGTTTAGTAATAGAGCACAAGAGTTTCGCCTGCCGGCCGTGCCACATTGGCTCCAAGCACACCAGGGGGGGGGAGCTTGTGATAAGTGGGAGTATGCTTCGCGCTCCCTCGGAGGACATTCCCTTATGGCAAAGAAGGCAGGTCAGGGCAGGCCTCCTAATCCTTTTGGATCGGCAAGGATCGGCACCGCGTAGCACATACACTCATCAAGGAAACTTACTCGTACTTCCCTTCGGCCGATACACCGCGCCGGTTTGAAGTTAAGTTAAAATAGGACAGGAGTCCAGTGCTCTACGCGAGCCGGGGTTCAGCGGGGTGTGTAGACTCGGATCAAACACATGAATTTGCATGTTCATGATGCAAGTGTTATGGATGGGCCTTGATGAAAACAGTCCTGGATGAGGATTCGATTACCGAGCCCAGAAATGTGCCTGGCAACCGAGAGAGGTTCCAGTGGAAAGATGTATCATCGAAAACTTGGAGAAGAATACACGTTCTGTGTATGACGCCGTCTTTCATGGCGAGGAAACTTCATAAAAAGCTTCATCCTCTCACCTCATCCTTAATACATCCCATCCTCCAGGCTGCCATCCTCCGATATTCCCTCATTTGTTTTGCTATCAGTTTAGCATAAATTCCATTGATAAATATTTAAGAATTCAAACAAAGATCATTCATTCCTGTCAAACATTCCTTTTGGTACTTTATTCACGAATATTCATTACGGCAAAAAGCAGTGAAAATGGCCAACAGTCGCCCTAGTCCTTTCATCCTCATACAGCACACCCTCATTTTGTTACTTTCTTGTCAACAAATCCTAGTTTCGGTTACTTCTGCGCCTCTTTCTGTTTCTCTAGGTGTAGCAAAAGCCGGGTCGGGATTACGAGACGCGAGTTTTCCAGCCTTTCATGCCGGAGCGGGAGCGGCTAGTCCTCTTCGTCGCCGAGCAATGTTAGCCAGCACCGGCCGTGGCGAATTCGAAGCCATGTCTCAGGCTGCAAACATGAGATTGACCACTCAATCATTGCAAGCGCCCACACAATTCCAACGTTCCGCATCCTCCAGTATTCGCATGCCCTCAGCAATTCCAAATCCCTACTTAGGGAAGAATCCCTAGCGGCCGTAAAAGTGTAGGCACAGGAGCATTCATACCAGGGAAATCCTAACTTCCCAAAGCTTCAAAACCCTATGGGGGGATCCAACAGAGTATCAACGGGTGCCCTTGCTCATCCAAATCCCCTCCCTTTTGAAAGCTCAACGCCTAAGATCGCTGCCCAACAGGCAAGTTCCCGTGTCCCAGCACGCAACTTACAGGCTGCCAAACAATCTCAATCAAATCAAAGAACGATGTCAGCAGGTCGGAATCCGTATATCCCTAGGCAAAGTCCGCTAGGATGGCCCAGACCCAGTCCGCCTCCGCCGGGCCCGATAAGCAAACCGGCAGGTTTTCGTCCCGAGGAGTCTGTGACTTTGTCCACTGCAAGCGGCAGGAAAGCCAACGACCGCTTCTCCCCGCCATCCAACTCTCGTATGAGTGCCGATTCCAGTCCACCGCCAGTCTGGGAACAGCTTGCCGGAGTCGATCAACACGTAGCAAGTCAGTATAAACCATCCCAAAGCTGTTCTCAATCTCATGTTAGACTCGATTGGAAAGAGAGCATATGCTAACTGTGCCTTCACACATTTGACTCCATCCAATTCTTCAGACACTATCACCCAGATCTCGCATAACAGGGCTGGTCCGACCTCGCTTCAACGGGGTGGATCCAACGTGCCTACTTAAGGGAATGGATTACAGAGTGGCCGGTCTCGCCACTTGATCGACTTTCTTCATCGAGTGCCCCATACGCAGTGACAACCCCGTTCATGCTGCCTCCCGTCCTTTGAACAGACCAGCCATTCAAAGTCGTCACGGCTTCCAATTTTCTTCTTTAATTTTACTTTGAGTGTTGTCCATAACCTGCGTGTTGACATGGAGATGTCTATCGACTGATCCAGCTATTTCAATCAAGTTGTGGGTGTGTTGCTATTTTTGTTGGGAAGCGTGGACCATTTTCAGTTTGCCTTTTCAAGTATATTCTGTTTGGGGTCCCCACTTCACTCTGTCTCTTTTTATTAAATATTTAAGAAATCATTTTCTTGGGCAATCCATTGAAGATCGAGCCACATTGCTTGTATTTGGAAAGAGGATTCTCGAGGAACTGGGGCACACACGCCCGACTTCTCAGAGCCGCGGGACACCGGAATAGACGATACACCAATCATCAACATTATAACTGACTTGAATTACGACAAGCTTTCAAGATAATACAGGCAGGACCAGGTGATGAGACAACAGGCTAGATAAGCAGACAAGCAAGGAAGTACATACAACTAAATAGAGAGAGAAAGAGGAGACGATTCTTCGTCGGCGAGAAGAGATATATGATACAATTACAGTGAGCAACATCGAGCGAATTCGAGACTATAAGAAAACAGTCAGAAAGAGCTGATAGAAAGGAGTTGATGAAACGTACCTCCTCAGTATAGTTACAAAAAAAACATACAACAAGGAGGACACCCCACATCTGACCCCGCACTCTGCTTTGAAGGCCAGATAGGTAAAGAGTAGAGATAAGAGAGAAAAGGACGAGGCAGAGGGAGAGAAAGGTATGAGGAGGAAGTAAGGTCAGAGAGACGCTACTCTGGGATGGGTATACTTCTGTGTGTGGTGGGAGGATTAATAAATATGGGATAAGGGTAGATTAAATGAGACCGCGCACTAGTCATACCATGATGATAAGTTGGCGCCAGAAGAACCCGGGCCCTGATAAAGAAAAAAAAAAGAAACTTGGATAGCCAAATAGATATGAGTACAAAAGACTAAGCTCTAGGCCCGATCGATTTCTTCTTCTTCTGAGGTCTGGATAGACTCAAGAGCGAAGAGGAGGATGATTCGAGAGCTTCTGCAGAGCGGTCGACGGCCCGCTTAGTTGATTGAGTTGTCTGAACTGAGCCCAATTGTTGAGATGGTTTAGAGTGAAGTCGACGGGATTTCACTGAGGGGATTTGTTGCTCCCATAGATCGACCTTGGCCATCGTCGATGAAGGAAGGTTGTGATGGGAGTTCAAGAGGTAGTGGACCTGGTCATGTGCGGAATGACTGACTATAGATTCATTGATCGTTGTAGAAGGTATCAGGCTTTGCGGACCCAGGTAGAGATGAGAGGATCCGCTT